CGCAAGGGAAAGCTATATTCATTGGCCAGAAAACTGCACAGGAAGGCTCTCAGCATGGTTAACAACCCCGCAGGACCTGCTGACTTTGAGCAGGTCGTTAAACGTGTGTGTATTTCACATCAGCGAGGCAAGCATGGCAGTTAGTTTATCACTATCACTGAGAAAGCCCTCCTCGTAGCATTTTGGAAACATTCACTGCAGAAATCAGTTGGTTGGGCTGCTGTATCTCCTGTACTTCTGATAGGAGAGAAGTGGAAAGCATTATTAAGTAGCTTCGAGATAGGTAAAGTCATTGCTTTTGACTCACCGGCCTTGTACCCCTACTTGTGAGTGCTTCTACTCATTCTTAGTGCTAATAGCAGAACCTAGATCCCCCAGTCTTCCAACATGGACCGAAGAACAACAGCTCTCCAGAATACTCTGGCCTTTGATACCTTTGACTGCGGAGGCATATAGCATTATGGACCTCATCATTTTTTTCAACCACATACCACATACCATATGCAGAAGACCTTTTTTTTTTTTTTGACTCCCCAGCTTTCACTGTGAAATCCATTCTACTAAATATATTTTGTGACATACATCCACTCTGTTGGTCCCTTCTCTAGAGAGCCTTTATTGGGTCCTCTGGAAGACCAGATGGTGATTTTAACATTGAGCTATCTCTCAAACCTGTCCCCGCCTTCACCTTATTTTTTTTTTTCGTTGCCATGTGATGACCTTATAGATGTGTATAATAATAGAGTGAAGGAAACAGACTGAATCTAAACCCAGTTGTTTCCCTGTATTCATGGATCCCTGCTCATTTCCCATTGCAGATACCCAGCGTTTTTTTTTTTTAATTTCTTCGTTGGATGTCATAGGCCATATCATATTTACCACATCATATTTCATGATTTCTAGGATGTGATCTCATGTACCTCTTACCTGGAAATGAAAATTCCTATGAGAAAGCAGACACACTCTGAAACATACAATCTTGCACCCAGGTTCTCAACCGACCTGGTCGATCATGTAGAATTTAGGAGCCAGAACGTCAGACAGTGAATTCATGACTTGGAAGCTTCTCCCGCATTGTTGAATCCTGAGTCCTTGTAAAATCTAAAGCAATGCCTTTGATACAGAACAAGGGAAAAGCTAGAAAGAGTGAGGTGAATTTCCCTCAAGGTAGAGTGGAAGAAGATTTTGCATATGAATGTGTGAATTTCAGCCATCTTAGTTCTGTTTATAGGGAGCTTTTTTAAAACATTTCCTGTCCTGAGCTTTATGCAAATCAAGTGTGCTTCACTTTTCCCTCAGCATTTTCATGATTATTCAATGTGAGTAAAACAGTGGAATTAATTACCGAACAACACCATTTTAGAACACTATAAAGATATATTGTTCTGGAAAGAGTATTATGAAACTACCTCCCTCTTCCTCCTCATCCTTCATCTTTGTAGTGATTATCACCCTCATCCCCATCACCACCACCATCTTCATCTTTACTCTGCAGCACCAGCATCACCAACACCATTATCATCATTGTCATCAGCATCAGCATCCTTCCTGTGAATGAAGCATTTTATTCTTTTCAGATACCTCCCTCTCTATTAAGTCATTTTTTTCATCTCCATGGAAACGTTGGGTAGTACCCAGGTAAGGATTAAATATACTTCTGTTACAGATATAAAAATTGAAAATAAGTCAGACTGGTAGCTTCTTTTGTAGAATTCACACATATAAGCAGGGATAAAAGACAGCTAGTTACCCTTTCTGACAACATTGAACCCGTGGAGAAGCTTTCCTTGGGAAATAACAGGGTGGAGTAATGGGAGGGTTCCAGTAAGTCAAGACCTGAAAAAACAGGAGTTGGAGGCTTAGAAAAGGAAGGCTCGGATGAGGATTTCTAATATTATAGGAATAAGCAGCCACATACATCTGCAGAAGTTAGTTGCAGATGTTCCTTCCTTAAGCTTGTAGAGGATCCCATAAACGGACATACCTCCACTGACATAATGGTGTCCATTCACAAGCTAAAGTTGCATGAGTCTGCTAAGCAATTTTCTTAGATTTTGTGCATGTTTATGTGTGTGTGTGTTGAGCTTTGAACTCGTAAACCTTAGCTACAGTGTCATGGCTTTTGTATCTCTCAGGTGTACAAAGACACTTTTAAACTGAAATGAACACAGTAGCAATTATACTACAGTATTCAAAAGGATGGACTCTTTTCTCATTTAGAAACACAAGCAGTAGCCATGAATCATCCATTCCTGGGAAGGGTGGGGAGCAGAGCATTAAATATAATTTATGCTTTGCTAATTGAAATCAAATACCAAGTTCAGTCTCTCTGGGAGTTGCCATGCTCACATTTAAATGGGGCAGAAGTATTATTAACCTGACTCTATGTTGGCAAGTTGGCTTAGCTTTTATGGATAGATAATGATTCCTTCAGCAAGCCTTCACACTCAGGGACAAAAATCCCCGTCGTTCACTGTGAGTCAGAAAGTCAAAGAAATAGTAGCCACCGAAGAAATCACACCTTAAACATGCCAAATTTGCATTTCTTTTCAGCATCAAGACTCAAATATATTGCCAAGTGGAAGTTTTGCTTTTGTTTTGTTTTAAATCTTCTTGTTCTTTAGGCTTAGTCTTCTGCCCTTTCTTTATACAGAATGGACTATAAATGACTTAAGAGGGAGTGTTTTCCAGACTTTTACTTCACAAAGGAAAATGGTTTATTTACCTCTTGTTAACCATATTAAAATGAGTTTGTCATCTTTATATGGAATATTTATGTAAGGACACAAACTTAGAGGCTGTGTTGTTTGGAAGCATCATTTAAATGTGAATCTTATGGGCTTATGAAGACAGGCAGACTGGGGAGACTGAAGAGCTTAATCAAGATGTGTCCATCCGAAACAGGACAGGAGGGCAGGCTGGGCATGGCTGTTCTTAGCCCGTAGAAGAACGTCTTTAGAGGTATTCTAGAACATTGCCCTTTGGCAGAGTTATGATGTCACTATAACCTAGCTACTACTGAAATCCCAAACAGAACACATTTCTGCAAGGATAATGTATCCTTTCTTGTAGTGTTAAAAAAAAAAACAAACAAAAAACCCCTGGGGCCACAGTCCCTAGAAGTAAATCTCACCACAGGTCTAGTCTAGAGCTCAGGAAACGGTGTCCTTCTTCTTTCCTTACTTCTTACCTCCCTTCTTCCTGCCTCAGTCCTCTCCCCTTTTTCCTTTCTTTTCCCCTTCTGTTTATGTATTTACTTACTTTTAGTCAATGTCTCACTGTATGACATAGGCTGGCCTCAAAGCCCCGAGGTTATCTCGGGCTTGACTGCTGTGGTTCCAGTGTCTTCCACCACACATGGCTTGAACATATGTGTTTTTACAAAGTCTATGGGTGGTTCAGTGACGGCTGACACACACTCCCTCTTTGTTCTGCTCACAGAGCAAGCCCCGTGTCAGCTCCATGAAGTCCACCTTCTCTGCATGTGTACACCCCCCTCCTTTAAACATGTGAGCACGTGGTTTTTGAACCTTATCTTTGTTGACTTTGGCACATCTGTTGCCTTCAGCCTAAATTTTCTTATCTGGAAAAAAATATTTGCGCAGCTGTTTTTGAATCTGGGTTATCAGTCCATCACTCACGGGGTGATGAAAAACCTAATACCTCCTTCCCAAGCCATAGTGTTTGCGTGGCTGTAAGAAACATCCTGCCCTGCACACAGAGACCCCTAAACACTCAGAAATAAAGTCCCTCTATTCATCCTAAACAAAGCCATTCCTTGCGCTCCAGTGTAGGGGTGGGTGAGGAAGAAGTGACCAACACAAATACACCATTAAAGCCCATCAATCAGGTTGCATTAAGCTTTATAACAACACAGTTTCCATTTAGTGGGAGAAATGACAGTTTAATCACAGCCGAACAGATTCCACTCTCCCCACTCATACAAATTTCCAATTTTACTACAATTTCTGGCTTTGGAGATCTGCGAACAAGGGCTTTATGTCAACTGCTTTGTTTTCGTCGACCACACTAATGGGAAGGGACACTTTATTTGGCAGCCCTTGAAAAGGATGTCTGCAGACAGTCCTTGCCCTCCCCACCCAGTTCACACTGCAAATCAGTATTCTTGCCAATAGCCCAATAGATGCCATCTAGGAGTAGAGAAAATGAGCCATGAGGTGACCCTGAGGGGGCAGTGGTGAGACAAATAGAAAAACATTGAGTGTTCCCTTCCTCTCTGCATCTTGAAGGGTTACTCCGATCAACTAACAAACAAGCTATGGTCTTCGTCTCTAGGGCAGAGCCTATCCCTAGAACATGCCTTAGGACCAAGATCCTTAGGGAAGAGGATCTTTAGCTAAGGGGGCCTCCCAACTAGAGGACTGGGTTTTTTTTCTTATACCCCCCACATATAGGCATTCATCTTTGCCAACCTCAGGGCTCAAATCATAGCTGCTGTCTCCCTGTTCTAGAAGCATTCATGTGGGTCAGATTCCAACATGAGGATGTGTGCTAAGCTTCTCCATAATTTGGAACACTTGTGAAGAGAGAGACCCATCTTGGAAGGCTCTCAGATAGAATGCTCCAGGGGTGCAGGCTATTTTTTGGTGAGGAACATACGTGCATGCCTTTGCCTTCATATTGTGGGAAGGGAGAATGTCAAAGGGTTTTGGGATGAAGCCTTTGATGGGAAGGCTACACAGGCCTTGGAGGGAGGATATTGCTCCCTGGGATCCCAGTCTTGGAGCTCTCAGCCACCAACAGCATTCTGGAGAGATGCCAAGGCAGAAGTTTACATACTAGAAATTAAACACAAGGTTAGAATCCAGACTCCCAAGACAAATACAGTAAGAGCTCCTGCAAAGTACGCGTTCCTTCCTTCTTTCCTATCCTTCCTTCTTTTTTTCCTTCCTTTCCTCATTCTTTCTTCCTACCTTTCCTTTCCTTTCCTTTCCTTTCCTTTCCTTTCCTTTCCTTTCCTTTCCTTTCCTTTCCTTTCCTTTCCTCTCCTCTCCTCTCCTCTCCTCTCCTCTCCTCTCCTCTCCTCTTCTCTCCTTTCTTTTCCTTTCTTTTTGCCACTCATCAACATCATAGCATACATCTTTGACCCTGTAAGATGTTTATCCTGTCTTCAAGACTCCATTAACTAGTAGAAGATAAATATCCATGGTGGATTCCGGTGGCCATCTTGTCCACCAGGTACAGCTGGTTCCTTCACAGGGATGCCATGAGATCTATACCTTTGCCTAAGCCCACAACATTGGAAGTAACCTGACTGGATGAGGTTGGCAATCTACTTGACACTCCAGCATGGCCAAAGCTTCAGAACCTGGGGGATGTGGGACTCTGGTAAAGAGTATCCTTGGTATTCCTTAGCCTTCCCTCCACACTGTCAGCCTCACTTATCACCCTCTTCCTGTTCCCACTGAAAATCCTGACCAGTCATTTGGTAAAACATCATGTTGAAGGGTTTGTAGAATTTCCGAAGTCTGTGGATGACATCTGGGTCAATGCGAGGATGAGTCCGACCTTTGCTCTTGCCCAAACATCTTGGGGCACTGCTGTCTTCTGGCTTCTTCAGGCAGGGGAATCCCTTGGTTTTGTTGAAGTAAAAGTGCTTCTCCGTCACAACACGCTTGAGGCCTAGGAAATCCTGTACTTTGGCCATCTCCCCTGCAGGGTCCACTATGAGCCGCTCTCCACTGACGAACAGGATCTGAGAGAGGGGGAAGTACTGCAGCCAGTTCTCCAGGTGCAGAGCATAGATCCCAATGCGAATGGCACTCCACGAGGCATCAATCAGCCCCAGGGTCCGGTTTTTGAAGGCCAGCACCTCAAAGGTAGGGATCTCTGGCTTCTTTGACAGCGTCTGGGTATAGTCAGAAATGGCCCTGGTCACCGGGTTTCGCACCACCACAATGAGTTTGATGTCCTTGGCCATAGAGTGAATGCGTTTGGGAGCCTCATTTGTCACAAAGTAACTGGGCGTCTTCTCCATGGTTATCTGCCCGTCCACTGTCTTAGGCATCACATTTCTAGAAGAATAAAGAAAGGGGAAATACAGTGATTATTACCATACCCAAAATATTTGAATATCATTCCACAAATTCTATGCAACATATAACAAAGGTGGGAGGCACCAAATCGAACCAATAAGCACAGGAAAGTTTTTTTTTTTAATGTACCAACTGTAGGCTTGACTATGCAATTATTGGAAAGGCAGCCTAAGGCTTATGCATTATTCCTTGGGAGTCTTGTGTCCCTGGATTTAAACTGCCTTTCTACCTCTCTTACCAGTTGTGTTTAACCTAGATTTCTTCATATATTAGTTTTAAAATCTCTGAAACAGAGGTAATGATAGCACCGACTTCACACTGTAGTGTGCGGATTAGGGGGATAATGTTTGAAAAGCATTTAGCACGGAATCTCATGTGTGCATGAGCTTAACAAATTAAGGGTTTTATTATTGTTGTACTAGCTTTCAGGAAATGTTTGAGCTCAACACGACCTCAAAGATTATCTGGTCCAGGTTTGGCAAATTCTCACTGCCTTCTATTTGTCTATGAGTCACAGTTAAGAAGGATTTATAATCTTTAAATGGTTGTGGGGAAAACCCAAATGATAGTGATAGGAGAATTGCATGCTACATGGAAATTATGCAGAATTTAAATGTCAATGCTTGTAAACAAACCTTCCTGGGGACACAGGCGCACTTACTCACTTACAGATAGTGTGTGTGCTGCTTCTGAGAAATAAACAGGAAGTGGAATCGGGGCGACAACCATGTGGCCCACAGAACCTGGAATATGCATTGTTTTACTTTTAAGGAGTTTTTCTGAACCTTGACTTCTTAGTCCAAAAACATGGTTGTATAAGTGGTGAAAGTGAAGCCCAGGGATAAGGAAAGGACAGAAATCAGACAAGCTTTGTGTCCGCAGAACACAACGTAAGCACATCCCTGGGCCACAACATCTTCATTATAACGTCCTAACACTCTACTTAAGTTCATTTGAGAACAAAGTGACACATAGAACGCAAGCATAGGTTGGGTACAAGACAAACAGTGTTCTTCTTTCTTTGCTTCTGAGTTTGCCCGGTAAACTCACAGAGCGTGCTCTAGCTGGGATCTTTAAAAAGCCCCCAAAGTGATATGTTAAAGACTTTGTCTTCAGCCTGGGTAGGGTGGTGGAGTCTTTAAGGGTGGAGCATTGGAGAGGAATTTAGGTCCTTGGAGTCATGCTTCGAAAGGGCATATTAAGAGACTACCAAATGGGCTCCAGTGGTTGAAAGCACTGGCTGCTCATGCAGAGGACTGCATTTGTTTCCCAGCACCTGCAGGGTGGCTTGCAATGAACTGTATATCCAATTCCAGGATATCCATCACCCCCTTCTGATTTCTGCAGGCACCTGGCCTGCATTTAATGCATAAACACACATGCAGGCAAAAGCACACTTACATAGAAAACGAATAAATCTAAAAAAATATTTTTTAAATAATGGGCATATTAATACCCTAGCATCTCTTCTCTCTAATCCTCACTTCTATGTCTTGGCCATGAGAAGAATGGGCTTTTTCCACCATATATGCCTTCTATGGTAAACTTGTTGCCACAGACCCGAAACCAATGAGGCAAAGCAACCATGGATTGCCATCCTTGCAACCAAAAGACATAATAAGTCTGACTTCTAAGTTGATTGTCTTAGGTGTTTGTTAAAGTAACAGAAAGATGCCAGCTAACACAGACATCACTGCACAGCTCTTGTCTACTGGTCTCCTTGACAAAAACATTTTCTAACTCCATCCCTCCATTCACATTTTCCTCCGAGGAGACAATCTGATGCCACTTCCTCCAGCCCAAAGCATAGGACCAACCAGTGATTGAAAACGAGGCTCAGTTTGCCGTAGGCCTGTACAGACCAGTGCTAATTGAGAATAAACACGTTCGATACCTGATGGTATAGTGGGCCACCTGCCACCAGGTGCTCCATTAAATCCATTCACTTCCAAGTCCTGCGCTAAAGTGGTACATTCAGGATTACACAAGACCTCTTTGTTATGATGACATGCTTTTAAATGTCTCAGCTAATAAAACTTAATACAGACAAAGATCCCTTAGCCTCTCCTACCATAATTAAATTTATTTACTATCACTTGCGTGGAGAAAGAATGACTTCTTTTTATCTCTAATTCACATGCTCTGTCAATAATTAATTGCTGCTGGGTTTTCAGCTTTCACCGTAAGCTCTTTTATTAAGCAAGAGGAATTTGCCTGGTAGAAAAATTCGCTAGAACAAGACCTTGTTAGAGTACACTGGTTGGGCAGAATGCAGTTTTCAGATCAAAGCCCAAGGCATGGCCACGAGTAATCACGTTTGTTTGGGGGTGACAGGTTCTCCACAATATCTAGTGTCTGTGTGTGTGTGTGTGTGTGTAAGTTTGAGCTCACTAACTGTGCTGGTCTCTGCTGGAAGGGTGCAGCTAAGAAACAGTCTTTGATTGTAGCCCTGCCTAATCTGGTAACCTGAAAGTTCTAATGATGGTTTTGGTCTCACCGAAGCCCCTTACCCCATTCGGAACCTCAACTCCTCACAGAAAAGACGGGGCCAATAAAATTCCACGCTCGCGGGGCTGAGATGAAGACTAAATGAGATAATGCAGGTGGATCACTTAGGAGAGTATCTCATGAATGCCAGAATCTTATTTTCACTTAAGCCGGCTGTCTAGGAGCATTTCCCGAGCAATTCTTACAGAAGGGCAGAGGGAAAGAAATTACATTTGACTGAATGGAAAAACCGAACTGAGGGTCTGATCTAGGATAAGGCAAATTGTGATTCACACCGATGCCATCAACTGCTCCTTGATCTAGAGGCTGGGGGCCAACAAGAAAGCTGCCACTAGCTCTGGCTGGATATACACTCAATCCTGTTCCTATTTCAGCTGGAGAGATTATTTCTTTAACAAGTTATGGAACTCACATCATATTTTAAAAAAAAATTAAATAAACTCTGTTGAAAGAGAACCTCCTTACAAGTATTATTTTTGCATGGCTTCTCCCCGATTTTCTTCTCTGCGTTAGTGCACGTCTGTCTTGTTGCAGTTTCCCTCTGTACAGAGCAGCTGTGCGGCTCCTCTTACCCGTTCTTTGTACTCACACTCCTTAAGCCTCAACGCTTCCTTTACTCTAAGTCCCATTCAAATTCATCTCCCCTACTTTAGGTAATTGACAATCTGCCAAGACCCTTGTGGATCTCGACTCTTTCATCCAAAGCATCTGGGATGAAGTAGTTCCCAACCTATACGCCAGTGGCTACAGGAGCGTGTGGGTATGCCCAGCTCAGCATCTGATGCGAAGCAAAAAACCAGGCAGGGACACTGAAGAAAGCAGAGGGCAGAAGAGGAGTCCCAGTGGCTCTGATCATCTTGCCGCAGGTGAGGGTGGCAAATGTGTAACTCAAGAACATTCCCACAGCACCCATGGTAAGACTGGATCTCTTAATTAAGATCCAAGAGGTACTTTGTCAATGAGAAAATTTTCAGTGGCTTCTCCCATGACTATGAAATGGCAAGTCTATCCTCTCTAAAGCCCATGTTTTCATTCACTCTCCCATTTATTCTCTTCATAAATGTTCATATGGTCATTTCCTAGTAATATCACAGTGAATGAAACAAACTCAGAGTGTGCAGCCAATCTGGGACTTCGGACAGACGAAAAGAGTATCACAGTGCCGTGTCATTAACCGTCCTAATCATCAGAGTAGGTATCATTACTATTCCAGCTCTACACAGGAGGAAAGAGGCTTGGAATGCAAGGTCTCACTACACGTGTGTTTTGTTTCTAAGTTCAACAGTTAAGTTATTCAGAAGTTAATTGGGTGGCTCTCTGACGAGTGCCTGCCAAGCCATTGATCTAGTCTCGGGAGCTGAGGCCAATCCCGGGGCAGGTTTTCTTGTAATCAGGTTTGTTGCTGTTTCTCCTTCCCAGATCTCTCATCTGGAACTCTGATGCGGCAACTATTTCTGCTCTCTCCTGGTATCCTCTCCTGATAAGACCGTAGAAAGCAGGGCTGCACCAAAGTGTTTACCACACAAGCAGTGAGGACCTAAGTTTGATCTCCCAGCGCCCATGTTTGTAAAAAGCTGGGTGTGGTAGTACATGCTCACACTTTTAGCACTCCGGAGTCAGAGACAACTGCAACCTGGCCAGCTGCTTCGCCTACTTGGAAAGTCCCAGGCCAAGGAGAGATTTTTGTCTCCAAAACAAAACAAACAACAAAAAGAAGCAAAAAACAAACAAAACAAAAACAACAACAACACCAACAAAAAGTAGGTGGCTCCTAAGGAAGAACAGCTGAGATTTGCCTCTGGTCCCTACATGCACAGATGCACAGGTGCACATTTGTCTATACATAACAACGTGCATACACACACACACACACACACACACACACACACACACACACACGCAGAGAGAGAGAGAGAGACTGAAGAAGACATTTCTTTTATTGGATGTGACAAACTTCCACCTAGTCTTAGAATCTTCTCCTTCCCACCTTCTTGAAGCCTTCCACCCTCAATTTTTTCGTTTTAATTAAGTTCTTCTCAGCTGGGTCTGACATTTCAATACACCCATGTTCTCACATCGTGGCGTGCGTGAGGAACAGGAGAAAGGCCAGGGATGCTGGAGGGAGTTAGACAAGGTAAGAGAGTTAGAAAATAAGGTCAGGAAAGATGGGCGGGGAACAGACCCTGGAGGGCCTGCCTAATCTGAGGGAGGCATACGGATTCTTCTCTATATCAAAAGAATCCATTGAAGAGCACTGAAGAGGAGACTAGAGTGTAGCTTGCACTTAATTACCTTTTCTGACGGCTTTGCTGAGACCAGAGAAGAGAGGGTAAGCGTCAAGGGTAGCATGCTCAGACGCTATGTCAGGACTGTAGGTTAGAGGTGGTAGTAGTCCCCAGGAATAAGCACCAACAATCCCTGTTTAAGGGCTGAACTGAGTTTAACTAAAAGAAAGATGCTGGGGACCACAA